TATGATAACTAATTATTTTAAATAATAAAGATTTGCTAACCATCTGTATACTTTCTATCATTTTTTAGTTCTGTATTATTAAAATAAATTACATAATTATATTAATCATATAATAAAAAAATGATTTATATATATATATTGTATTTTTTACTTTATAAAAACGAGTATAATTACTAAAACGGTTAAAAGTATCACATAAAATTTTGTGATCAAGGTTTAGTTTTTTTTTCTATAATAAGATACAATGATTATAAATCATATGAATAAATAATTTTATTTTAATATGTGTTTATGTTACTATATATATATATCACTTAAATTAAACTATACATCATATGAAAATACATACTTATATTGTGATATTTGCATTGAACATATATTGAATGTTGAATATTTTAATTTTTAAATATTCTTTTTCTAAATGATTATAAATTATTAAAACCACTAAAAATTCCACATTAAAAAAATTCCATTCATGTAAAATTTTTTTACATAAATATGTAAATAATCATAAAATCATATGAGTAGAAACCTCATTTAATAAATATCCCTATTAAAAGTATACTATTTAAATCTATGTTAATATCATTTAAATTAATTATATATCATATACGATAGATAATATTGATTGTTTTGATTTACTTATCCTAAATTGATTGCAAATAAACAAGAGGGGTCGTTTGATTTAGCACACCAATTTATTACATAGTAGTAAGTGATTTCTTAGTTATTTAAAGTAATTATTATTTTATTATTTCATAATATGAAAAAACATAAAATAAGTAATAAATATAAAATATTTCTTCTGCACAAAGCGTAGATCCTAACCTAAGTATGTATCTCTTTAGTAATTTGAAATATTAAACATTTTCTAAATCTAAGGCAAAAAAAAGAACGAAATGAGACTAAACTCAAAAAAAAAATTTATATCGAACCAAAATGAAAAAAAAACAACACAAAAAGAAAAGAAAATATTGAAGATCGTTAGGATTGAGACGTGAACATAAACTTCTCATAACCATAATTTACTTTTAAATTGATATTATGATATAAAACTGAGTTGACATGGTTTGCTTGTAACCAAATAGTAGGTGTGAGATTCTTCGGCCTAAACTTTAGGTTCATATGCGATAAATGATTTTTTGACCTAAAATATTTCTAAAAATTGGATCAAATCATCCATAATAAAATTATTCGATTAATAAAAAGTTATAAAAAATTGTTCAAGGGCCAAAAATATTAATTAGATAAAGAATATAAAGTGTTTTTCCGTACTATATTTCTTAAATAATTTTCATATAAATTCACCCCGCGTAAGGCGCAAGTCTTATCCTAGTATATATTAAAGCACATCTAATACAGTTTTAGAGATCAAATAGATCACGAGAAAAAGAACACAAGTTAAGGTTTTGAGTGAGATTTCTTGTGAAAGAAGCAACTGTTGTTGCAAAAGGTTACCTCCAGCAGTTAATAATTTGTCAGTCATGATATCCAACTTGTATACTGTCATTTATATTTGTTCAAATCTGATTGGACAAGTGTGTAATTAGATTATTTACTTGAGTTCTAATAAAGGTATTCATTGAAAAAGAATCTCATATTTATGATCATTATTATAGTCTACGTTCTAGGTTTTTCATTTGGTATAAGAACGGGACAACCTCTACGACTTGGAATATGGTTTTTACAGGTTGAAAATCCTGGAAGAACATGGATACTATGAAGGAAGTAATCGCATTTCAGAAACCTATCATGTTGGATAAAGGAAATTTTGGTTACTGGAAAGTTCGGATGAGGCATGTCATACGCGATTGATGAAGAATCTTGTTTTACAATTATTAACGGTTGGACTGAACCTAATGTGGTCAACAAGGAAAATTAAGTGGTAACTAAACATTGATTCAATAGACTATTGAAGAAATAATGCAAACATGTTCAAGAATGTATTTCTAAACTTTAAAAGCATGTTCAAGAATGTATTTCTAGAATTTTAAAGAAAATAGTTTTTCTAAAAGTAATTGTAAATGAAAAATTTCAACTTTTTTAAAAAAAATGAAAAAATATTTTACTATTTTATTATTTTGGTTTTTAAATATTTATTTATTTTTATATATTTACTATTAATTACCAAAAACATAAATGAAGATAAAATTGTCATTTAATCATTTAATAAAAAACTTTTTGATCACTTTAACTTTTGAATACTATTTTGGAAAAAAAATTGAATCCCTACCACGTCTTGCTTTTGTCCCTGCTCGTGTGCCGCGGTCGAGCTTCACCCGCGGCGTCACTATCTTCTCCATCGAGTTCTCTTGTCGAAGCACTTTTCAGAATGTGACAAGTTCCATTCCTTGTCGTAAGTCCAAACGCGAAACACTTACGATCTCTCCATACATCACTCCTCTAAGATATCATCTCATCTCAGCACCACTCGTTGACGCTGTCATCTTATCTCAGCACCACTCTTCGATTTCGTTCATTCACCACTCGTTGACCTCCTCTTTGTGACTTCCAACAAAACACTTCTGATTGAGACCACTTGGTCGAATTGGGTCGATTGATCTCCCAAACATACTTATCCATATTTTCTCATTTGATCCCCATTGTTTATATTATTTCACTTTCCTCTAATACTTTCTAATCGTACATATTTCTCTAGTATTAGGCCTTAAACTTTGAAATGTACGCTCCAGTCTCTGCTTTATTTAACTACTAGGGTTAGCCCGCCCTACGAGCGAGAAATCAATTTTCTGAATTTAAAAAGATTGTAGCTTGAAAATGATATTATAAACAAATAAATAATAAATTCTGAGATTTTGTTGTTATTTTTAATACTCATTTTTGGTTTGAATTAAAGGGACATTAATCATCATTATTCTCTATTTTTCAGAGTAAAGACTTTATATCTTCATTACATGTAAATTGTTTGATGTTTTGTTAAGTTGGTTTGTAAAATTTGGCTGTAAAGTTTTGTTATAACAACTGTTAGTAGTATGATTCTATTGTTATTTTGTTTTGGTCGTTATTCATATAATCATGATTAGTTTGAATAACTTCTTGGGAAATTTCAATTTTACCACATTCATTGTACTACTTTTCATTTTTACCTTTGCTAGAATGACATTTTCATAAATACCTAAGTCACCAGTGACCAAATGACTAAACTAACCTTTTTAATCTATCTCTGATTTCCTCCATCTTAATTTCTCGTTGTCGTCTTCTTCGTCAAGCCTGGACTCATTCTTAAACAACACCACTCTACAACACTCTCCTCCTCTTTCTTCCTCCATCTTCTCTCCGTTTCATACGACTACTGTGACCGTTATCGGAATTCGCAAGAGATGCCTACTCAGGATGGTGACTTCATGCGTCTCCCACTCTCAGAGCTCCGTCCAAAATGGTGTCACCGACGCTGTATCTGTGAGAAACCAGATTCGTCTTGGTCTTCCTAGAAAGGGACGCATGGCCACCGATACGCTAGATCTTCTCAAAGTGAGTGTTGTTATGAGAGTTTCTTGTGCTGTTTTTCGTTATCTGAGTGTGTGAAAGCTTCTTTCTTTAGAAAAAAGTGGAGTTGAGGCATTGGTTTTACAATCTCATTTTTCTTTACTTTCTATTGAAGGATTGTCAATTGTCTGTCAAACAAGTCAATCCGTGGCAATATGAAAAATCAATCAGTTTTCAAACTCTAATAAATCAGTTTATAAACCCTAATAAATCACTTTATAAACCCTAATAAATCAAACTATACGGTTTTATAAATCATTTTATTAACACATCAAAAACTCAGTTTATAGACACTAGTAATTCTACTTATAATTAAACCCTTAACTTAGTTTATAAACATTTATAACATTTATAAATCAGTTTATAGACACTTACAGATCCATTTATAAACCATTATAAATCAAGTTATAACCCATTATTTACAAAATCCTTTTCTAACCAAAAACACCATTATTGTATGTGTAATTATAGAATTCATAAATCAGTTTGTAATGATTTATATCATCTTATGAGGGTTTATAAGAGATTTTTCGTTTGTGTCGATGGGTTTAGGACATATTTATAAAAGTTGGTCAAATATATATGAAATATAAATCTATTTATAAGAGTTTATAAATCTATTTATAAGGGTTTATCAAAAGATTATAAAAATTTAATAATCTTCATAACACAATTTATAAGAGTTTATAAATCAATTTAAAAGTGTTTATAAATCAGTTAGAAGAGTTTATAGATCATTTAAAAATTCTTACAAAAATTATAAGTAAATCTTTATGAACGTATTTATAATGTTTATAATTCTCCTATAAATGTTTGTAAATTATAAACTGATGTATAAAAATTATAAGTTGTTTTTAGGTGAGATTTTGTCAACAGAATGATAATTGTTAATGAAGTGATTTATAAAGGTTTATAAACTGATATATAATGGCTTTTAATTTGATTTTTCTAAAAAAATCGTTCAAACAGATAACAAATACAAATAGGTTTTGCAAAACATATTCTTTTGCTTCATCCCATGTGAGAAAAATTCTGTGAAAATCTCAATGCATGTTTCCATGCATTTTAACCCAATTCTATGTACAACCATAAGATGGATTAACTATAATTACTTTGTCACTATTTTGTTCTAAAAGGCTAACACATAAGCACTTTTTAGTTTCACGACAAGGTCCATTGCCTTGCATTTTTCTCTGAAACCACAAGATATTCACCAAATTAACCAACTTTCCACCATTTCTTTGCTTATTAAAGAACATCATTCTTTTACAGTTTCTTTTATAAATCCTTATAAAAAGGTATAATTGAGCATTGAGATGATTGAGCATTGAGAGCCGCTTGAAGACGGAAGATAAGAAGCATTAAGCCATTTGAAATCCTCAAACTTCTGAACCTCAACAGTGACTCCTCTGAGGTTTCCCATGTTCACAGCAAACCATGGCTTCATCGCAGCATAGTTGATCTCGTTGGTGACAAGATGAAAGACGACTTTCTCAGGGGCCTTGGAGTTGAGAGCAGTGAGTTAACCACAACCGAAGTAGCGTTCTCTCTAGTAAGTGATAAGAAATCTGAGCGTAATTAGCACTCTTCTCAGTAACAGAACTCATCTGCACTTCCAAAGACTGAATAGTAGCCTTGAGCCTCATGATCATAGTGGAACTGTCGTACTAAAGCTGTTGAGCTAGATAAAGCAAGAAAACCATGTCGTGGATAGTGGGTTCAGAGTCAAGAACCGTCAAGGGACGTCTGGAAGCAGCGACAGTGAAAACAATAGGACCTAATGCGAACTAAATTGTAAGTTTCTTTAATTCATAAGTCTACATATTGATAGCAAAAGTCAACATCAAAGTCTTGTTCATAGAAATAAGACACTGATGCATAAGTACAATAGGGATCTAAGCTACACAATTTCTCAAGTCACCTGCTTGTGTCCTCTTGAACCAAGGTGTGGCGTTGCAGAAGCTATAAAATACACAGGCTCCAATCCACAAGATCTTATAAATTTGATATTTGAAAACTTCATGAGAAGAACTTTGTCTTCCTTCCAAGAGACATGTCGATTTTGATAAACCAAGATACAATTACAGAAAGAGACGAAAACCACCATCTATTATCCTCTTACCTTTGTTAGTATTTCTTAGGCATCACGAGAGAGATAGTCTCATTCGTGTTTCGCCGGAGAACTCATCAGCATCGTCAGATTCCACTGGAGAACTCGTCATCATCTTCAAAGCTCGCCGGAAAACTCGTCACAATCGTCGAATCTCGTCAGATTTTATTATTGGATGTCGTTCAATTTAGTGGATCTGAAATTTAAGAAATCGTGGGGGAAGAAGACAATAGTTTTAGGTTTTATTAGTTAGGGGTATAATTGTATTTTGGCTATTAAATTTTAAAGGTAAAGTTGGTTAATGCATAAATGAAAAATGGTATTAGGAAAGTGGTATTTGTTATTGATTTCGAATGTATGTGGCGTGTTTTGGATTCGGTTGTCGTTGCCATGTAAACACTCAGATGTGTGATTAAGAAACATGGTAAGTGTTTGAGTCAATGATTCTCCAATTTAAGTCCAAATAATAAAGAGTTAGGAAGGTTTGTTTTTTAACTTAGCTTAAGAGTTAGGAAGGTTAATATATTGAAAGTGGTGACATGTTTAGACAATACTTTGGGTTTACCCGTTTGCTTTATTTATTTAAGCCCATACTATATAACCAACAAGTAATGATGACAATATTGTAGACGACCATTTACAATGACAAAGAAAAAACCAAGCTATACGATCCGACATTGGACAACCAATTACCCCGCAACTGACTCCACATGGGTTCTGTATCGAGTTTCTTAGGCTTTGTCTCCCTAGGATAAAAAAGAAGCAATTTCCATACGATTAAAAGAAAGATTATACGAAATTTTCATCATATAAATCAAACCTAAAACAGAAAAACATTTTCTACGACCATGGACATACTTGGCATATCAATCTTGACAAATGCTACTTGGCCCTTGTCCAAGCACGCTTCACTTTGATGCCGAGCTAGGTTACAACATCCCCTTTAAGGACGATCCAAGCCAACTCGACCTTATTGATAGCACGAAAGTGTCATGGTCTAATCCTTTACCAATTACATCCTTGGCTATGCGGCTGAATACAATTTTCGCTCCAACCTAAAACATTCAACGGATAATATAAACTTGTCAAAAATCGACTAAGATCTATATATGCGACCCCTCGGTCCTAATTGCTCTAGCATAAATCAAACTACTTAACATCCAAACAGGAACATGAGTTTTGGCTGCGAATGTCTGCAAACAAACCAAAGTGTTCTTTCAAAGCATGGTTAAGACGAAACCCTTGCAACACCGCATAACATCTTCAAGACCGTGAACGTTTCAAACACAAAACGCGACATATGAAAGAAAAACCAATCTTCGGCATTGTGAGACGTCGCAGACGCCTGAAGAACAATTTTTCGACGGAAATACCTTCCTCGATAAAATCACTTTCTTGGAAGACCCAACAGTCCATCCACAACTATAAAACATACAAAATTTCTTAAGATACATATCCTTCGCGAAGGTCCAAGAAACAGTAACATATACCACCTAAGTTTGTTGCTGATCACATAAAACTCGCAACAGTCTTAAACAAACTTAAGTTATCTCACAGAGATAGCTCTCATACACTCGACACAAGGGTAATAGCGCTATAAAGAAATCCAAATTTTGGTCAGCACCTTCGGGGATACTCGGTTCCGACCAGAAAAGTTGTATAAGCTGAGAACCTATCGCGGACTTTAAATCGGTACAGAATCAGGTTAAAATCGCAACAGGCAAAACGAACGCCGATTAGTCATCGCAAAGCCTTAAAACCGAAAGTAAACCTAGGTCTTACCCTAAACCCAGCACACTGGTCTCTAACGTCTCAAGGCATGAAATGAGATCCTAAAGGCATGTCTCTTCGTCCATATCTAAACGCTCACGAGACTCTAAACATCCTAAAAAGAGTAAACGAATAGAGCGATCTACAAAAAAAAAAGAGTTAGACTATGAGATGACAACTCATATTCTTCCCTCCACATTCATACGAATACAAACTTGCTCTTAAAACACAAAACACAATTTAAAAGACGGTCGCAAAGTGGCACCAACTCGAAGCTACATACGACCAGTCCAAAAATATAATGGCCACACTCGGTCGAAGCAGACAACCTACGAGGCAAGTCTCGAGGCTGATACAAAAAACCATCAACATCGTCATGTTCAATAATCTCTACGCATAACTAGACTGAAAAGGTCTCATTGGAAAACAGGTTGTACGATCCTTAACTCTAAAACGAACTACGAAAGGCTTGATCCCTTCAAGAGGGTACGTAGGCAGCCTTCACTAGGCTCAGCCCAAATCCTACCGCTTTCCATTCCAATGAGAGTGGGAAGACCACTTTCAACGGAACTTTTCAACCATAAATTCTGCCTAACTTGCCAAAACTTGTCTAACCACTCACCAAAACCTCACGACTAGAAGCTCAAGGTTCCAACGAGCTGGGGGGCTAACTGTTGGCGTCAAAATCAGTCACGACAGAATCAATGGCTAAAAGTCTCGGAAAATGAATAAAGGAAAACTGCAGACTTTCTACAGAGATACAAAGTTACGGAAAACTCGTATCAAAGTGTGAAGTAATTAAAAACACCTCCTTGTTGGGGTCGAAAACGGTAATCTTGAAATCAACGTCTACGATTACTTCTCCTTATATTCTCCAAAAGAATCTCGGGTCGGGAAGATAAGATTCGACTGAAGTCGGACAGCCAACCAGCTCGTCAAGGCGGTGAGCTGACTGGACCGGTCCAGCTCGCCGGCTGGGCGAGCTGGCCGAGGCCGATCAGCTCGCCAAGATGGCAAGCTGGACGGACCAGCCTAGCTCGCCGGCTTGGCGAGCTGACCACAGCCAATCAGCTCACCCAGCCGACGAGCTGGCCGTGCCTAACCAGCTCAACAGCTGGGCGAGCTGAACCGTCCCAAACCAGCTTGCCGTCTTGGCGAGCTGGACCACACCGTCTAGGTTGCCGGACTGGCGAGCTATCCTACACAAACCTCATCATCCGCATTGCCCGGATGCAAGGAATATGTCCCTCGACTCGATCGTACTCTGAACTGTGATCGGAACATCTCTCGTTTCATCTCGATCCGTCTTACCGTTGGAGTTTTACGATAAAAACCGCTAAAGACTTGTTTTCTCGTAAAACCTCAAGTAAATATTATAAAACGGCGAACGGTTAAACAAAACACCGGAAATTGCTAAACTAAACGATTGACTCGAGATATTTTATAAAAACGGCATCGTATCATGGAACGATCCCGTCTAAAATTGTTAAACGGCTAAGTCACACATTGGCCCGGAAAGTCTTAAAACGCGATAAAGTCCCACTCAGGACTTTAGACGAGATCCAGCCCAAAGATATGATGACGGTTTACCCATTATTCGTAGGAACGGATAAATGTCAAGTTTTAAGACAAAATAGAAGTTTTCCAAGGAAAAATAGGAAGATCGAGATAAATGGAAGATTTCCGATAAACACGAATCAGGGTGGAAAAGGAAAGACCAACCGCCTAGAGGAGGAGTATATAAGCACAAGGTCGAAGTCAAGAGGAGAAGAACTTTTACAACTTTTCTAGACTTAGAACTCTCTTCACTTAGAAACTTAAGCTTTATTCTCGACAAGTTCGGTTTCTATGACTGGCACTCAATTCGTAGACGAACTCGCCCAGGCAGTTCGATCTCTTTTTCAGCTCTATCAATTGAACTACGTTCGGCTTGATCCTCGAAAGGGGTATGTAGGCAGCCTTTCATAAAGTTCATTCTGAAATCAATCAAAACCATTTTTTGTATATTTTTCGTCTTTTGTTATTGAGCTGCGACTCAACTAGGTTTAAGGTTTTCCGTTGCTAGAACTAGATAACTTGCTGACAGCTCTTTCGGCCAAAGATTTTGTAATCTCTTGTAATAATCGCAACGCTCTTATGCAGATTCGAAATAAGATCTACTTTTTTTTATAAATTCGTTTTATCATGTTTTTCATATTTTCCGCATTTATTTGGTTACTTGTCTTGGATCTCGCAGAGATCCAAGAGATCCAGAACCTCTGGAAAATTAGGGTTTACCTAAGTTTCCTTATTTTATGGAAATCGACAGTGCGAATTTCGGTTTCCACAGAGGGTAAAGCCAGAAATGGATGATCATCAGTTTGTTTTCATTTTATGGTATATTTGGAAGGAAATGAATAATAAGGTCTTCAGTAATATTGATATGGATCCCAATGATACATTGCGGTTGGCAGAGACGGAATCGCTATTATGGAAGGAGGCTCAGGAATCAATAAAACAAAATGATCTGAGTGAACAAGAGACTAGTGAGAACATCTTACCACAAATTCCTGGGCGTTAGTGTTTTATGGATGGGTCTTCGAAAGATCAGGATAAGTTCTCGGGTCAGGGTTGGTATAGTACCCTTCCAGGCTTTTGAGAACTAATGGGAGCAAGGAATACGAGAAAGAGTATATCGCCACTACATGCGAAGATAGAATCTCTCATCTGGGCTATGGAAAGTATGAGGAATTTGCGTCAATTTCATGTCACGTTTGCTACGGATTGCATCCAATTGGTGAAGATGGTTTCTGCACCAGAGGAGTGGCCAGCCTTTGCAAATTACTTGGACGACATAAAGCTCCTTCAAGAAATTTTTACTCATTCAGAGATCATTCATATCCACAGAACGCTGAATACCAAGACAGACAAACTAGCACGCAGTACCAGGAAGCAGTCGTCTTATGTTGTTCATATGGATGCCGAGTTATCAGTTTGGTTTGCAGATTCTGCTTAGAGTCTGTCTATGTTGCTGACAAAAAAAAAAGATTAAGTTTTTAGATAGGTAAAAAAAATATTATTTTAATTGTATTTAGTTTAGTTTATTATCTTATATTTGTAAATGTTAATATGGAAATTATATAATTTATTAATTTTTTTTGTAGTAAAATAAAAAGAAGTTTCAAGAAATTATTTCTTAAACGATTTAAAATTGCATCATCTTCTCTTGAACAACCACTTTAAACCTCAATTTAATTTGATTAAACCAAATTAAAAACGACGTAAGCTCGGGTAACCAATTGATTTAATAGAGTTGGTCACCTTTTCTAATTTCCATTAAATCCCTGAAATTACGTTGCTTTAAATTTTTTTAAAAAAAAATTGTATCTAAAAGAAATCAAACCTATGACCAAAGCTACTCATTGTAAATCTGAACCACTAGACAACTTACAATTATGCTAAGTTGAAAAAACACCAAAAAATATTATTCTTCTTGTCCGAATCATCCTCTCCCAATCTAAATCCCTAAATCGATCATTGTAGAAAATGTTGAAGAGTGTAAATCCTACTTTTGCGATGATACATTTGAAGAATGGTCGACAACTGGACAGAAAGGTGTGTTCTTTGATGAATGAACGGAAGTTCCATGGATTTCAATGTGAAATTTTCCAATAATTTACAGAGATTCTTACGAGCGAGGAATGAGAGAGAGAACGAAAGGTGTTATCGAAGAAGGAGAAGAAGATGAAGAAGTCGGACCCAAAAAAATGCATTGTTGAGAATAAAAGCTTTAACTGATTAAACTGTGAGTTTTCATGGAGGTGGAGGAGAAAACTAGACAAGAGAAATAATAATGAGTGTAGCTTTAGTCACGGATTCGATTATTTTCAGATATAAAATTTTTTTCAAAAATTCATAGCCTTAGTAATTTAACGGAAATTAGAATTGGTGGTCAACTCTGTTAAATCAATCTGTTACCCAAATTAACATCGTTTTAATTTGGTTTAATTAGGTTAAGTTGAGTTTAAAGTGGTTATATAAGATGAGATGGCGTTTTAAATAGTCAAAAAGAAAATTCATAGTTTTTAACCAAATTTTAAAGTTGAGGATTTAGATGATAATTTTTTCAAATATTTCAAGTTAAAGTGGAACAAGTACGATGACCTCCAACTCCGATGATCCAAAGATTGCAAACTTAGATGTAACATTTGTTAAATTTAGATGCTCTTTTTACGTGCTAATGCACCTTCCGAGACACAAAAAAATGGACCGACATGAGAAAAACTGCCGTAAGTCAACAAAACTCAAATAAACGGACTGTGTAACAAACGCGGGAAAGATGTCGGTAAGTTTTAAACCGAACCGGTATAGACTGGTACACGCGTTACTTACGCGTAGCTTCCACGTTGGCACATGTCAGACAGATACTTAGCTTGGTCACTTTCTTGTTAGAATAAATATCTTTCATAATCAAAGAAACCAACTCTCCATCATTCTTTGTTTATCTTCTCCAATTTCAAATCTCCGGCGATAATGGAATCTCACGGAAACTCAAGCGAGAAGCAATCTTCATCTCTTTACCCTACTGTCGACATGTCGAATCCCGAAGCTCCTCTTAACCCTATATCCTCCTCTTCTACTACTAATCTCTATCCTTCCCTCGACATGAACGATCTTGCTCGTGATCTCTTCCCTGAGCATCCGGAGACGACTTCCGTCCCGGTGTCTGCTCCTCCCGCAGCGACGGAGGAGGTGATTCTGAAAATCTCCGGCGCCATTCTCCACCTCATCGACAAATCTTACAGCGTCGAGCTCGCTTGCGGCGATCTCACGATCATCCGTATTGTTCAAGACGGAAACGTCGTCACTGTTCTCGCTCGTGTCGCCGACGAGATTCAGTGGCCGTTGACCAAGGATGAGAACTCTGTCAAGGTCGATGAGTCTCATTACTTCTTTACCCTCCGACCAACTAAAGATTTCGGACATGATTCGAGCGACGAAGACGAGGAAGGAGGTGTGAAGAAGGCGAAGCGAAAGGAAGAAGAGAACGATATGTTGAACTACGGACTTACAATTGCTTCAAAGGGTCAAGAGCATTTGCTGGAGGAGCTGGAGAAGATCTTGGAGGATTACAGCTGTTTCACGGTGCAGCAAGTGTCGGAGGAGGCGAAGGAAACAGGGGAAGAGGTGTTGGATGTGACTGTGGCGAGGGAGACTTCTCCGGTGGAACTTACTGGGGAGAGGAAAGAGATTGTGGAGAAGCAGTGTGCTGCGTATTGGACGACTCTTGCTCCGAATGTGGAGGATTACAGCGGGAAGACGGCGAAGCTGATTGCAACTGGCTCTGGGCATCTGATCAAAGGGATTCTTTGGTGTGGTGATGTGACTATGGATCGGCTCAAATGGGGAAATGATTTCATGAAACGGAGGTTGAGTAAGGCTGAGAAGGAGAGGGATGTTCACCCTGACACCTTGAAGAGAATCAAGAGGTATGTATGAATCAATGGTTTTGATTTAGTTTAAGTGTTTGCTAGAGAGGTTTATGACTTTCTATTTTAGGAAAATATTTGAAAAGCATGAAGTCATGTCTCCTTTTGTTAAAGATTAGTTTTTATGGTTTGAAATTAGATTCTAGAATTTGAAAATGCAACATTGGTATGTGTATTGACTTTGGATTGTTTTGCTTATGTTAGAGTGAAGAAGATGACCAAGATGACAGAAAATGTGGCAAATGGTATTTTGTCTGGAGTCATTAAGGTTTCAGGGTTCTTCACAAGTTCAGTGGCAAACACCAAAGTAGGGAAGAAATTCTTTAGCCTTCTTCCTGGAGAAATTGTCCTTGCAACTCTTGACGGATTCAGTAAGTATATTATGTAGATACACTTATATGGATGCGGCTAATCTTTAGATGTCATAATAATTGGAACTGTTGATTCTTGTTTTTGATAGATAAGGTTTGTGACGCTTTTGAAGTAGCTGGAAGAAATGTAATGTCTACGTCGTCCACTGTTGCAACCGAACTTGTTGATCACAGGTAAGTAAAGGTGTCATTTTATAGAGATGGCAGTGTTGAAGAGATATAATTTATGTATTGGTGTTTGATGAGTGCAGGCATGGTGGTAAAGCGGCTGAGGCGACAAACGAAGGGCTAGAGGCAGTGGGGCATGCTTTTGGGACAGCCTGGGCTGCTTTCAAAATCAGAAAGGCGATTAATCCCAAGAGTGTTCTCAAGCCTTCAACACTTGCGAAATCCGCCATTAAATCTGCAGCTTCACAAAAGAAAGCCTAGTAAAGGGTTCCTGATGAAGCAAAAAGCAGGTCGTTTGACGATGCGTGTATTGTTTGTATTGTCTTTTGTCATTTGATGTACAAGTGAAACTGAACAATTGTTTTGGATTAGTTGTTGGTGTGAGTGTTATGTGTTCTCTGAGAATCATATGAAGTTGATACGAATATGTATTGGAAGTCCTAATAGAGTTTACCATATCACAATGTAATTTGACACCCAACCTTTAAAACAACTATATCACTTGACGTTGCCACAAGAGAAAAGGGGGGACCATGACAATGCACCATTAAACGTAAAGGGAAACCTGTGGCTCATTCAAGGTTTAAGGATGGATAAAGGAACAGATCATGAATTGAAAACATCTGACTGTTGTCAAAATTCATATTCCCATTCCACATTTACTTCACTTTTTCATATTCCCAAAATTGGATGGATATGCAGAGCAAAGATTAGAATAGTGGTGTTCACAGCTCATGCTTGAAGGTAGGAATGGATGCCTATCAAACTAAGCCTATTTACCGGAAGCTAAAGGTGTCTTCCACTTTGTCGCTCAAAAAAGTAAGACAGTCATGGTGTTCATTCCTATATCTGCTAAAATAAAATGCTTAAGTGGCCCATGTGACCTTCGCGTTATTAGCAATGACGCTCTAAGCAACTGAGCTAACGGGCCATTTTTTTGATAAAGTCTGATCATTGTTCATTTTGATTGAAAGCTTAGCTTGGATCTTTTAATTAACTAGATCAGCTACAAAAGCAACATAAAAGGGTAATAACTGATCCCATGGGATATTAAGATGCTAGAGCTAGATTTGTTTCATTGCCTGAGCAGTCCAATCAGTTGGATAAAGAACGCACACCTTTGCATCAGAGCCAAGTCATTGGAGCTAGGAATGGATGCTTAAGCCTTTCTCATTAAGCCTGTTGACCTAAAGCTAACTTCATTTTTCTTTTAAAGCAATGGGTTGAAACAGAGTAAACCTCCTTTGGTCATAAGATGCGGTAGAGGAACAAGCACCGAATCGGTATATATGATTGTCCCTGAGCAGTGAACACTTGGTCCTCGAAGCTGTGGCTTGCCCGATTTTCCGAGTTAGGATTAGAACATTCTGACAAAGATTCAATGACTTCCAACACGTATTCCCTTTCTCGGGAAAACGTTAACTGTTAGAACTAGGTTTGAATTCAATTCTTTTTAGGAACAGTACCATTTATATGATGCAGATAAGTTCTGTGTGTTTCAATATTGATGTTAACGTGAGTAAAATGAGCCAACTACATTAACAAGCATTTATACAATAGTATAGCCGATGATGAGAGTCTTTGCGTATGTACGAGGTACATGCTTGATAGGGCAACCTTTTAAGGTCAACTTTTGTTACTGAACGAAATAGGAGGAAGAGTAGAGATAATGACAAAAGAGAGAACTAATGGTAAAAGAGAGAACTAATGGTAGTGCAATCTTAGCTCTCAGCTAAAGCTGGGAACTATTTATCTGTAAAACGAGAAGTAATCGTTTCTAGGATTAAGGAAGCTTATCACAACGAACTCTGAACCATCTTTAAGACCACTGTGTTTCTCCTTCTTAAGCCTTCACTAGAGAGAGGAAGAGACAAAAGAGAGTGACATGAGCGTAGAGAAATTACAAAAGGGAGCAGGCCTTTTGTGCTTTGCTCTTCTTTTTCTTCTGCTTTGGAGGTTGAAGTACTACTCTGATCGCTGCATCAAACACCCCCTTCACGTTCTGCTTTTCATTAGAAAAAAAAAAAACAGAGTCGAGCTATGAAGTAAAAGAGCAAACTTATATTCAATGCAGTAGTCATCAAAAGGGAAGTTTTTTTGAACTTTCTTGCCTCCTGTGATTTTGAACTGCACTCAATGTACGAAGGAGCTCCAATGAGCTTCATTAGTTCCTCTCCCTTTGTTTGCCCAAAGTGGGGAAAAGGTCAAGCGAGTTAGGTTTTAAGCACGGTAAGAAACAGAGTAAAAGAGAACCAATTCGAAAGAATACCTGAGCAGTGGTAATAGGTACAGCACCAGGGTGGTCAACGAAGAACTGTTTGTCATCCCTAAGATCTGCCACATTTTGATGAAAACAAAACCTTAAGCAGAAGATCAAAAAGATTTTCAGATTGAGGTGATATTGCCTAAAAGCCTTCATAATAGCTATATATTAGACCAATAATGAATGACTGCTTACATGGTATTGGGCAACAGAGGTAGGTAGGTTAACTATCAGGAGAAAGTGTTCGATACAAGAAACAGTTTGACCCAAAATTCAATAAAAACAGAAGCAATGAATGCAAGGTAATGTCCACTAGTGTCACAATATACAGACATGTATGGATCAAAACAAATGCAAAAAGAAGGAAAGGGAACTAACCGAGTTTGGTTCCAACAAGAACAATGGGGACACCAGGGGCATAGTGGGTCAGCTCAGGGATCCACTGCAGCAGAATCAGAACCAAAAGACTTTTCATTTCAAGAAACATGTAGTAAGGCAAAAGTAGGAACTAACGCACCTTCTTGGAGACATTCTCATAACTAGCCTTACTGATAAGAGAAAAGGCTAAGATGAAAACGTCAGCACCGCGGTAACTCAAGGGTCTCAATCTGTTATAATCCTCCTGCCCTGCTCACAAAAAAAAAAAAGAAAAAACAAATGAGAAAAAGGCCATAGATTTATGCAACTGAGTAAGGAGAGCTTGAGGGTGATTTGAGTACCAGCGGTATCCCACAAGCCTAGGTTGATAGTGGCTCCGTTAACAACAACATTAGCGCTAAAGTTATCGAAAACAGTGGGGACATAATCCTGTTCCAACAAAAGATACAAATCTTCACAACAAGTACTCAATCAACAAAATGCACAGATAGAGAGAAGACAATGTTTGTCTTTAACAAAGGCAATGAAGAAGGAGATATGATTGAGAGAAGGTAACCGTAGGGAAAGTGTTGCTGGTGTAAGAGATGAGCAGACAGGTTTTACCCACAGCTCCGTCACCAACGGTCACGCACTTTATGAACCGAGATGCGCTCATCTTCTTCGCAAGAATCGCTAAATTTCAACCTCAGATCGACTGAGGAAACAACAGCGTCTTCTTCCCACTTTTCCTCCGGTGCAAAAGAAAAACCCTAGAAAATGTTACCTTAAAGGGATTTGGGAAGGTGAGAACAAGTGTGATGAATGAAGAATGAATCGAGAGAGGAAGTAGGAAAGTGATCGGCCAGAAACTTATGCCGTTGAAGCGTTCTTTCACATCTTCTCCATCCATCAACTCCCCGATTCTTTTGCTGATTTAAAAAAAAAAAAAATAATTGTTTCACCTTTCTGTTTCTTTTGCTTGTTTCATTTTTTTGTGTAATTTTCTTTAGTCTTATATATTAAAACCGAAGTCATGACTTCACTTGATGTGTGATTTTTAAAATTTTGGACCTATACCTAGAAAGGGGACTTACATTTAATCTCTAACTATCCTAATCGTTATTAATGCTAGCTAATTGACATTATATGTTTACAAACAATACACCTAAATTTCTGGTTTAGATAACCAGCATGACTTTTTCCCAATAGGTATAAAATTGATGAGCAACTTATAGAATATACGTAATTGATTTAATAAAAAGAAGTCCAACCTAACATAATAAAATTCTATATTCGGTTTAGTCTCATCATTTTATTATAAAAAATAAAATACTGTTTTCGGTTAAACATCAAGTGTTTAATTCTCGACCATAATTTTGATTCAAAATACCGACTAAAAATTTGGCTTTGTCGTGACTATACTATCGGTTTAGTATAATGCCAATGAATTTTGTGACCACTTATTTTATGTATTTAACCCCTTAATAAACAGAAGCCGAACCGAACATTATAAAATTGTAGCTTCGGTTTTGTCTCAACTGGTTTGTCCATATATATATGAATCGTAAAATATTTTTTTTTTTCAAAACCAAGTATAACCATAAGAGTTATTCTTGGGTTCACCCCCTAGGGTGAACCATCCAATAAGATTTTACTATTTCATATTTGATATCTTTCAAAAAAGGAAACAAAATCTTTTTGGGAGAATTTCAATTATACCACTTTGGTGGTACCACTTTTCATGTTTACCATCAACAAAGGAACATTTTCAAAAATACACATTTTATTAAAGGATAAAAGACTCTTATATCCTTGTTCTTTACATATATACATAAAATAAATATTAAATAAAATATTAATCCTAAACCCTAAAACATCAATTCTAAATTCTAAATCCTAAAAAGTAAACCCTAAACCCTAAAAATCAACCCTAAACCCTAAAATATCAATTCTAAACCTTAAATCCTAAACTCTAAACCCTAAAAAGTAAACCCTAAACCCTAAAAAATCAACACTAAACCCTAAACTATCAATCCTAAACCCAAAACCCTAAACCCTAAATTCTAATAGTATTTTGAGTATTAAAATTTTAATGGTAAAGTTGGTTAGTGTAAAGTTGAAAAGTGGTATCTTGAAAGTGTTATTTCTCGCAATTTCCCAATCTTTTTAAAGAAAATATTTTAACACTAAACCCTAAACTCTAAGAATACAAAAATAAATAAAAAATAATGATAATTAATAAAAACGAAAATGATCATTTTTTAAAGAAAATATTTTAACACTAAACCCTAAACTCTAATCCTAAAACCTAAACCCCTGGGTAAATCATAAACCTTTGGATAACTTTTATAAAAAAAAAAGTTCTTTAAAAAAAATATTTTAACACTAAACCCTAAAATCTAATCCTAAACCCTAAACCCTTGGATAAATCATAAACACTAAACCCTAAACTCTAATCTTAAACCCTAAACTTTTGGGTAAATCCTAAACACTAAACCTAAACTCTAATCCTAAACCCTAAACCCTTGGGTAAATCATAAATATTAAATTTTTAAAACACTATAAGATTTATCTAAAGGTTTATGATTTAACCATGGATTTAGGGTTTTTGATTATAGTTTAGGGTTTAATGTTAAAATGTTTTCTTTAAAAAAATTTATTTTTGTTTTTATTTATTATTTCTTTATTTATTTATTTTCTATTTTTATTTTAAAAAATATAATATAACTTAATAAGATTTTCTTTCTTTTTTAAAAAGATATCAAATATGAAATAAAAGAATTCTATTGGATGGTGAACCTAGAGGTTCACCCTAGGGGGTGAACCCAAGAATAAGTCTAACTAGATTTTGATCCGCGCTTGAAAGCGCATAAATTATTTTTGATTAAAAGTTTATATAATTAGGTATCGTCTTTATTTAAAGTATGTTTTGGTATAAAATCAGTAATCCAAAATTTGTGATGATGATTGTTTTGCATTAGTTTTTAGTTTTAGTTTTTATTTTTAGATTGGGTTTTAGATTTTGGTTTTTGGTTTTTAATTTTTAAGTTTCTAGTTTTGATTTTCAGCTTTTGGTTTGAGTTTTTAGCTTTTAGATCCACTGAGTTAGTTTGAACTCATAATTACCAACAAACAAATCCCAAAAAATCGAACATCTAATATAAAACTGAAAAGATTACAATTTTTATTTAAAAAAATTGCAATAGTTTATTTTGTAAATAAACAAAACAAAAGAAAAAATATAACATGCGTTTTTTCAGTTTTTGGTTTTGGATTTTAATTTTTAGATTTGGTTTTTAGTTTTGTTTTACATTTTTTTTAAACAGTAAATTATTTAAGAAAAAAAACTATTATCAAAGTTACCATTGAAATTTATCAAGACAGAGTGATTGTTATTTAAAATAAAAAAATATTAACATATTTTAAAGTACATGATTTAAATAAGTGATTAATAATATATAATTTTGTTTTCTTAAAATATTAAATACTTTTGGGTCTTAAAATATTAGTTGATTTTTTGATCCATTAAGGTAGAACATTTATTCAATGTTTTTTTGGAGTTTTTCTTTAATACTAAGCCTAAAACTCAAACTATATAATTTGTCATAAATACAAAAGTAAGCCCAAAACTCTATTTCATAAATAACTGCCGGTTTAATTTAAGTAATGTGGTTCAATCAACTATATGACTTGTATTATTTGTAACATTCTAGAAAGAGTCCAAATTTAAATGACAACTTATATCAGTAGATAAAAAGAATGACTCTATTTTAATAGAGTAGAAGTAAGCCCAAGATTATGTCCTATAAATAACCACCGATTTAATTTAAGTAATCTGGTTCAATTAACTATATGGCTTGTATTATTTGTAACACTCTAGAAAAGATCCAAATTTAAATGACAACTTATATCAATAGATAAAAAGAATGACTCTATTTTAATAGATTAGATCATAAATCTAAGTAGTTGTAATATCTTTTAACTTGGAAACCAAGTTTACTCCAAAAATATCTCAATAGATATGATTTGTTCAAAAATTATTGCTTGAAGATACAACTTATAATATTCTAACTGATTACATATCAGACCTATTTGTTAGATTACACTGATTACTCTTGCCGAAAACTACTCAACAAATCTTATATATTACCCATAACAACTAATACAAAATATCCTATGTTTAAATCCTTTATATATTAACTAAGATAACTGAATCATAATATCCTTAGATTTTAATTTATACTCCCTCCGTTTCGAATTAATTGTCATTCCGGAGGAAAAAATTCGTTTCAAAATAAGTGTCGTTTTAGAGTTTCGAGATAAAATTTATTAGTTTTATATAATATTCTATTTTTCTATTGGTTGAAAAGTGGTTAGGTGTTTTTTCTTGAAAATATATAAAATTAAGTGTTTCCTTAATCTGTGTGCAAAAATATAGAATGACAATTAAAATGAAACGGAGGGAGTAGTAATTACAGATTTCATAGAATATTCTTATACTAACAGATTGACATTGGTAAACTATATAACCCATGTTAAAATATAATTATTATATTGAATTAAATATGATTAAATTCTAATAAATTGATAAATTTATAAGTTTTATTTTCATAAATATAAAATATTTATCTTGAAAATATAATACGATGATAGAATGACTTAACATTAACAAAAGATATAATACATGTCTAAAATTAACATATTTTAAACTTTTGTATTTACAATAATGTATAATCTAAAATGTATAACCCTAATAAATATTGCTAACAGAAATTCAGCTTTGAAAGATGGGTCTGAATTTAACATAGTTTAAATACAAAATATTTTCAAATATGTTATTTTATGTATATATTAGTTTGTTTAATAACTAAACGTAAATATAACAAGATAAATATATAATAAAAAGACAAATACATGTGACGAGAAACTGATTAATTACAACATATAAACTATAAAATTATTGTAACTGAAACGTTTTTATAAACACACTACAAGAATATAAGGATATTGTGACAAAATATTCTGTCACAATAGACTATAATTCGTAACAATATTGTCATTGTTACGTCTTTGTTACTAATTTTTTATGGTTGCAATACGTGTGTCACAAATGTTTTGGCGTAACAAAAATGTCACAATATCTGTGACTACTAATATTTGTAGCAACTCGTCACACATAGTTAC